ATATGCTGGTGCCATGCTTCCTGTACAGCTTGCAGAACTATGAGCTCAGTTCCCTTTTCTTTATAAATTACCCAATGTTCAGTATTTCTTTATAGTGACACAAAACTAAGACACACGTGAACCAAATCAGGGCAGTTAGTCAATGTGTTGGAATGCTATAGAAAGAGAAGCTATATATTTCAGAGTGAATGCTGGTAGCATCTAAATTTAAAACTGCTGGCTGCCACCTTTATTACTGCAAATGTGTTTATTACTGCATGTAGGTAGTAAACTCTACATAGAAGAAAGCCAAACTAAGGGATGGAGGTAGAGGAAAGAACACCATTTGCAATATCCGACTCCCTGGATGTAGCCATGCCTGAGCCTTTCAGTTACGTGAATCAAACAATAACACTTTTTATTGATAAATTAATTCTTGATTATCATTTTTATCATTTTTACTATATTATTAACTCTTTGTAAAAAGAATTGTTCTTAAACCTGTTTGAATTGAGTTGTAATTTATTATTAATACTAAAGAAGCCTAAGACAATGGTGTATAAAATAATTAAATCTAGAACTTAGAATTCAAATCTTTCTGACCTTAACCCAGTGTTCTTTCCAAACTCAATATTAGCGAAGACTGGACCATACTATTGAATAGCAGCACTGTCTCCTTATTGAGAAGTGAGTTGTAAACACCAGTGAAATTATATTGTTTCATCCACATGCATGCTTGACAATCTCTTTCTATTATAGAGAACAAATTAATTACCAAATAGGCAAAGCAGAGAATCACAACTACAGGGAGTTTTTTTTTTTTTTTTTGAGACAGAGTCCCAGCCCACTCTGTTGCCTGGGCTAGAGTGCTATGGCATCAGCCTGGCTCACAGCAACCTCAAACTCCTGGGCTCAAGCAATCCTACTGCCTCAGCCTCCCGAGTAGCTGAGACTACTGGGCATGGGCCACCATGCCTGGCTAATTTTTTCTATATATTTTTAGTTGGCCAATTAATTACTTTCTATTTTTAGTAGAGACGGGGTCTTGCTCTTGCTCAGGCTGGTTTTGAACTCCTGAACTTTGAGTGATCTGCCCGCCTCAGCCTCCCAGAGTGCTAGGATTACAGGTGTGAGCCACCGCGCCCGGCCTTACAGAAAGTATTTATCATGAGAAATCTCCTGCTGAGAAGGAAAAATTATTAGGCGAAGGAGTATGAGGCTAGAACCAGGATAAAAAAGGATGCTTACCCTTCAATTTCCCAGACAATATTTTTTTAAAGGCATGGAGAATTATACAGTATTAATAAAATAGAGGAAATTAAAAGCATTCATGATGACCGCTTTATTCATTTTATGAGAGTTTGTACGATAAAATACATTTTTGTTCAGAAATGCATTAATATTTGTTTTTATAAGCTCCTGTCTATTAAATCTTAGTATGTCTAAACCTGAACATTTATTAGGTCTTCATTGGTAAATCCTTTCTCTATGATGGTACAGTGTGTACTCAATTTTGGAGCACAGGAAATATATGTTCTGTGTTTTGGATATATGATTGTCATCTTTGTGCTTTGGTGTTTCAAAAATTTTAAGGCTATGAGAAAGAGTTATAGCATCAACATATTCTCTAGAATGAAAGCTCTCTTAATTCATGATGCTGTAGAAACACACCAAATAGGTTTGCTTGCCTTTAGATGTGATTCAAAAATAAAAAAATTAAGTCTAACCTAGTGGCTGAAGATATTGTATTTAGTTTGCTGCTTTTTAAAAGAAAGTTTTAGGGAGGCCACTAGCTGTTTCCCCTGGTGGGATAATCAGTGTCAGGGGACTAAAGGGAGAAACTGTTGATAAGTTTGGGCCCTGAAGATAATTTGCATCTTGGTTTTTTTGTGATCTGAGTTTGAGGAAATAGAGTCAATGACTTTTGGGTGTAACTATCACTCTATAGAGACTAGGTCTTTGAGAATATGGGTTTGTGTGCCTAACAATGTTTTAAGGCTCAGCCACTCTCTGTAGGATTAGGTTTCTTGAAGATGACCCATGGAATGCCTGGATCCAAATCACCAGGGATGCTTCTTTGAAAATGTAGATCTCTGGGCTTCACCCAATGTCATGAATCAGAAACTCTGGGGATGGAACCATGTCAGTACTCTTAAAATAAGTACTTGCAATTATTTATTTTCCACACTGATGTTTGAGAAGTATTGCTATAGGCCACATCAACTTTGACCTATATCAACTTTGAACTATTGTACATGTGACGGGCTGGAGAATCAGCCCTAATACAAAGTCTATGTTTTCCATTGTCATTCAGCTTCTTAAATACTCAATTTATATAACATCTGGATGAGAGTTTAAAGATACACAGCATGGCCGGGCGAGGTGGCTCGCGCCTGTAATCCTAGCACTCTGGGAGGCCGAGGCTGGTGGATTGCTCGAGGTCAGGAGTTCGAAACCAGCCTGAGCAAGAGCAAGACCCCATCTCTACTATAAATAGAAAGAAATTAATTGGCCAACTAATATATATAGAAAAAAATTAGCCGGGCATGGCGGCGCATGCCTGTAGTCCCAGCTACTCGGGAGGCTGAGGCAGCAGGATTGCTTGAGCCCAGGAGTTTGAGGTTGCTGTGAGCTAGGCTGATGCCACGGCACTCACTCTATCCTGTGCAACAAAGCAAGACTCTGTCTCAAAAAAAAAAAAAAAAAGATGCACGGCAATTTTGAAAAAAGAGTATGCTGATTTAATAAAGTAAGGAAGAAAGCTTAGAACAAAAGACTTTCTGCACATGACAATTCAGGGCCAACTTAATGAGTGATAAAGCATTCTTTTAACTTCTCCGAATTATATTCTCTGGATACTTTAATAGGCAAATAAAGCACAGCTGTTTCCCTTTGCTTTTTTAATAAATCAATTACACCTATTTCAGTGATCCAATTTAACACATTAAACAATTAAGGCATTCAGATCTTGGTACTAACAGTTATATCAAAACACCTCAGATCCCATCTTCCCTCTCTAAACATCTGTAAATATAATTTATGTAAAAATACAGATATCCACATATAGTAATTGGCAAAAGTAGAACAGCCATTCTCAAAGACAATGGTTTTCAACTGTGGCTGCACATTAGAATCACCTGACCTACATCTGTATCCCACTGTTAGCCAACTAAATCAGGATCTCTGGATTGCACAATAATTTTTTTTTTCATTCCCCAGATAATTCTACTGTAGTTAGGGCTGGGAACCACTCCCTTATGGCATTTCCCAGAGAGTACAATCTCTAACCGACTCAATAAATGAAGTTCAGCCAAGACCAATAATCAGTGGAAAGATGGCCTGAAGTCAATGTTGCTCATTCCTTTCCAGTCTACCATCTTTAATTAAGCCAGGTTGGTAGAATAAGGGTGGAGTTATAGGACAGAATTGTAATGCCTTTCTGTTTCCAAATTTATTATATTCCCATGTGCTTATTTTAAAGGATGTATGCAGGAACAGACCCACACAGTGTACTTGTCTACTCTATGGATATTGTTGAAGACTTTAATTATACAACATGGTGCTATCTTTCATAAGACACTTGGTAGCAAATTTTTCTGGGCTCATTATTAGGAATAGTAAATGTTTAGTGTATTCATGAATTATATAACCAATCAGGTATTATTTAATGAGCTGCCAGAAAGTTTGGAGCCAAATTTGTTCTTCACACACAGGTATAATAGAAATTATTCCTGTATCAATTTTTCCATTTTTATATTTGTTTTCCCTTTTTCTTTCTTGCCTCCTTTTAACTTATCACTTTGAACTTTTTTTTTTTTTTTTGACTCAATGAAGCCACTGTAAAACTGTTCAGGAACAAGATTAGGTATACATAACATTAAAGTAATGTAGCTAATAGAGTCGATGATCAAATACTGCACTACAAAGATGGCTTTGGTGCAAGTCAACCAATTTCCTCAGTGTAAGAAAACTTGAATAGCATCAAAGTCAACTTGTGAAACATGCCCACTGGACTCAATTTTATGTTAAAATGAAAATATAAAAGATACAGGGAATACACACACACACACACACACACACACAACCCATCAGAATAGTGTTATGACTCTATATTTACCACTGATGTGGTGAAAGCAGCATGAATAAATGACCAGAGGGAGGAAAAATGTATTCTTCATTTGAGAAAAAAGAACATGGGGATCAAAAAATGTGAAGTTTCTAGATGTGGAAGATGCCCAAATTCAGCTTTCACATGAAGATGAGGAAAATATCCAGGGAGTGACAAAATCTTTCAATCAGATTTTCTTTGGTATCCATTATGAGGAGAAAAATATCTACCTAAAGTTAGACTTTAAAAAATAACCTAGCTGGAAAACATTCAGATATAACTTTTTTTTGCAAAGTAGCCTGCACTGTTTTCATGATTAGTCAATTATATCTCTATTATTCCAACTACTAAGATGCCTGAAATGCAAGTAGGGATTTTGAAGAAAGGGTTCTACAGTCTCATCATTTAAAAATGAAAAATCAGCAGGGTCTTACTAAATTGCATTGATGGATCATGAAAAAGATGTTATTAAAGTAATTTGCAGTCACTGTGTGAGACGAATATTCCTATGGATATATGGGAATTTGGGTGAAATTATTCTTTAAAGGGAAAACTGTTAGTAGTAATCTGCACTGATGGACTCATTTACATATGCAATTTGAAATTTGAGACACAGGTTTCCTCTTAGCTATGATCACCTTTTATTAAAGTATTTACCCTCTGATTGATATACAGGCAAAAACCCTCTGTGAATTTTAAAAGAGAGCCTGACTTTACAAATGTTTGTAAATTCAGGCTGTTTTTTAATTTATATTGGCTACATAACAAAATATCTTCTAAATTTTGTACAATATAACATATTTCTTTTGGTTGAAGACATTGTTTCACTAATATTTGTGATTTGTGTAATTATTACAAAAGTTGTATACAAAACCTGCAAATATGCAAAAATTGCAATATACACTCTGACAGCTAATGCTCTGAAAACACTTTATTACACAAATTACATTCAGATTCTGAAAATAGTGTTCTAACAGTGTAACCATCTAAAAATAAGACATCCCAGAAACATACCAACTGAAGAAGAAAATTTAAAAAAGAATTTAAATAGAGACTTTTTTCTTTCCCTCATTGCAATATAATGTTAGTGATTTTAAAAAAATAGAAGGAGATTTAGCAGCTTTGTTGTCACGTAGCACAAAGTTTCTCTTTACTGCCACAGGCTGAGAATGCTGAACAGGAAAGGCACCAAAGAAAGACACTGGCAATGAAAGTGCTATTGGGAAAATACTGTGTTCAAGCAGAGAATGGGGTTATTTACATCCACCGAAAAGTCTCAAAAGTGTAAATGAGCAAACCTTCCATAGTTAGATTAGTACTAGGATGGAAGAAGAGGACTGTTTCTCTATTCTATGTTCATATAAAGACAATGGCACTCTTATGAACTTTTAGGAAACTCCTCAACTACAAACAGAAGCCAACTTAATCCAAACAAGGTAAATAAAATGTGTACAGTCCCACACAGACCAGTAAAGTTTACAATTAAATACTCAGAACTTTAAACGTGCTAAAGGGAAAGGAATCTGGCATTCTTGGTAAATCTCACTCAATCTAAACCAAAGCCTGGTTTTCAGGAGGAGGAGGGTGCAGGTGCAGGCAGAGGTGCTGAATATTCCTCTTCCGATTCACTTCCATCATCCTCATCTTTCTCGTGGTCGCTCCCCTCCGTGCTAAGGCGGTCAAACCCCTTCCGACTGTAGCCCTTGCGGCTTGCGAACATAGATTCTGACCAGGATATATGACATATAAAAGAGACTTGACACATAAAAGTTATAGGGCAGGGTGGTAAGCGTAGAGATAAATCTCAGATTATTGGGAACAGTGAGGCCTGGGGGCGGGTGGTGGGAATCGTGGTAAACCAACCCAATCCGGCAAGAAGTGGCTAGGGAGTCAAGTTTGGTCCCTCCTTTTGCTATTAACACATGTGGCATGCACTGTTACATAATGCTGACTTTACAGGAATATACTGGGAAGGCAGAGACCTAGTTGAACCTTAGGGTGAAATGTCATCACTCACCATGTTTTATTTATTAGCAAATGCAATTTATATGGTTCAGTCATCCATTAAATTCTAAAAGTAAATCAGCCCTTGCCTCTTTCATATTGTTCTTGATAGACTTTTCCAATATCTTAAGGTTTTATAGAACCCTTGTAAAGGACTTCCTTTTCAAC